GGGATGCAAGGGAGGGCAGAGGAGGGCAGAGGAGAGCAGGAGAGGACAAGAGAGAGCAAGGGAGGGCAAGGGAGAGCAAGGGAGGGCAAGGGCGGGCAAGGGAATGGAATGGAGGGCAGAGGAAGGCAGAGGGAAGCAAGGGACGTCGACGGCAGAGAGGGCAGAGGTGAGGGCAAGGGAGGGATCGGGAGGGCAGAGGAGGGCAGGAGAGGGCAAGGGAGGGCAGGAAAGGTCAAAGGAGGGCAGAGAAGGACTGTAACACCAGGCAAAGAGTACTCAGTTGGGAGATGCCAGGGGAGCTGATCCCTCTTACATTCCTTCCCCCCCTAGAGTGAACATCCTCGGGCGCCCCCGGGCATATCCCGTAGGATTAATATTGTTTGAGATCCCGTAGGATTGTGAATTTGAGTGTTTTTGACATTTCGTCAGTCCCCGTCTGAGATGGAGGACTTTGTTTTTACTCAGCTGGTAGACTTCTCACCCGCCCAGGCATCCGTCTATGGGTTAAGAGTATGTAGCAAGCTACATTTCCCTTAGAATATTTTAACGATTACTTTTAACAATAACTGTTAATTTGTTAAACGATCTGACTCAAGTTTCGTACATGTTCCGAGTTTCGTCACATGTCACGAACTGGGCAGCTGTCAGTAAGCGAATCTAACGGGCTGGGGCCCCGGGCCCCACCAACATTATCCTAGTACGGCAAGGTCCGTAGTAGAGATTATCCGGCAGGTAGGCCGAGATATAAACTACCCGGGCGGGGTGTTCTGGCCAGACACTGACATATCACATTACTAGGTGTTCGGAGTTCAAGACTCCGCTGCCGCCGTCTCTAACCGTTACGTACACATCTTATGTACGCTAGTGCTTGCCGCTTGGTTGGACTTCTTCCTACATCGACGAGGACTAATAACTCCACGCTTCCGCTCTGTCAGTCCTCCCGTCAGGTGAGCGACTGCTACATTGGTATCGAGGGTCAAGTTCGATCCTCCTTGACGCGATGCGCTACAATAAGGCCGCTCTAAGGCGTTTGACTAAATTCCTTAAGCTTCAAAAATTGTATGAAAGGTACCGCGAAGCATCCCTTCAGGAACAGGACCCTACTGCGCCCGAGGCTACTGAGTCCGACGACGAAGACGAACACCCTTTGGCTATTCCCAATAAGGAACATCATATTAATAATATTCCTGATAATTGTCCACAGATGGATGTTGATTCTCCGGCGGAATCGCCTTCGGAGACCGCACAGCGGGCCTCGCCTTCTACGGGCGGGCTTCCGGCGCGTACGCCAGCGCAGGCTGCGGCAGCCGCGCAGGTCCAGGAAATGCTTCGCGCGGCTCGCGATAATCAAGTCCCCGCTCTTCAAGCGGAATTATCTTCCTTTAAGGGAGAGGTTCACGGCATTCTCGCCGAATACGGCGAGCGCTTGGGCGAAATAACCTCCGCCCTGAAGGATGTCCAAGCGCAGCTTCGGGATTTGTCACCTACATCGCCGCCTCCGAGTACGTCGGACACTCGGCGTAAGACGATAATTATTGATGGCATCTGCGAGACGCTGGACAGCAAGCTGGCCGCGTTTCTTGACGTGGATATGCTGCAGAATTGCGCTTTCCAGGCGCTTCTGCAGCGCCACCTTACTCCCGAAGTCCGTTTGGAAGAGGTCAAGCAGCTCTGGGGCGAGGGCATCGCCAAGCAAGCCGGTGGTCCTTCCGGCTCGGCGGCCCCTCCTTCCAAGTCTGCTCGTCCCTCCGAGGTAAATAAGCGTATCCTTGCACCACCTCGTTTTAGTGGAAAGAAGGATTCGCAAGTTACTAATACTAAGACATGGTTCGCGCTCCTTATGCAATATTTTGACTTGTCGCAAATGGACCCGCTTGAGCACTTTATGTTCTGGCTTACGGGCAAGGCTCAGGAGTGGGCCGCAGATCTTTTCCTTAAGCACAAGTCCGGCGCGCAACCACTTACCCGCGATTTGTTGCGTGATAAATTCCTGTTACAATATGGGGATGCGAAGCGCGACACCGCGATGGCCGCACGCGATCGTTTGCATGCGCACGAGTACGATATGAAAATAGACGAGTCCGTACCGGAGTATACGCAGCGCTTTTACGATATTGTTCGCGAAGCGAATGATATGAGTGTTGCGGATCAAATCTCTTGGTATATCAAGGGCTTAGTTCCTGCGCTGCGCGGTCGCTGCGCTACGGACGATGAGGGCAAAGACTGGCAGGATTTAGAGAAGCTAATCCTGTATGCTAGTGGTCAGGAGGTTCGGTGGAAAGCCGGAAAGGACAAAGCACAGCTTGCTGTAGTTACTACGCAAGCTGGCCCGTCTAAGATTACTTCCTCCTCTCGCCCTAAGCAATCTCGCCCTCGGTCCCCTTCCAAACAGGCCTGGGGAACGGTTCGTGCGAAGAAACCGCGGACGTCAACATCCGGTACTCTTCTCAAGTGTCGGATGTGCTCTCGCCTCAAACCGGCGAACCAGACTTGGGAAGAGCACAAGGAGGACTGCCTTCGCCACCTGCAGGAGCAGATGGCCCGACTGCAGGAGAAGACGGCTAGTCTAAACGCGAACCGACCGGCTAATTAGGACGCTGGCAAGCGCGAGGGGGTGTCTTGCAAGCAGGCCGTTAGTGCTGTAGCACGTGTAGATGAAGTCTCTTCTGCCGAGCCTGACTTGAAGATTAGGGACTCTGTTGTTCCGCCCGTTTGCGATCCGTTGATATGTGATCGGATGTTCCTTCGTGATGAATTTCGAAGGGTTGAGAACGAACTTGGGCGTCAATTTACGTTCGATGCCGCTTGTAACGACTCGGGCGACAACAGTCTCTGTTCGCGCTTTGCCTCTCCATCCAACTCGTTCTTTGATACGGACGTCTCTGGCGAGTTTGTTTGGATCAATCCCCCATACACTCATATTAAAGAATGGCAGCAACATTACCACCGCTGTAAGCTAAAAAATCCTAAAACAACTTCTGCGGTGTTCGCCGTTCCTAAATGGACTCACGTCGAGTGTCTTATGCGTTCCGCTGGATACCAGCTACTCAAAACTTATGCTGTTGGAACACAGTTGTTC